CAGGGGCTGGGGGGGTCACGACCCCGGCGGCCCCCTGCCATTCCCTTTGGGATCAGGCAGCGGCTCCGGCTGGGAAGGGGGATCGGGATAGGATGAAGCCCACCAGCTCTCAGCAGCTTGGGGGGACACTGGGGTCCCCCCTGCACCTTGGCCCTCCCACCCAGCTTCCCCGCTCTCACCTTTAAAGAAGACGAACCGCCCGTCATGCCTCTCGTAGGCAGCATCGATGTCCCCGGGGAGGCCCCGCCAGAAGTGCCCGATGGGCATGGGGTAGTTGTCCAGCACCCGGTTGTGCCGGACCCTCCAGAACCACCGGCCCTGGTGGGAAACGGGGTGTTGGCAGAGGATGGGGGGGGGGACACAGGGACACAGCACCAGGGCCAGGCATCTTGCCGGGGGATCCTCCCACCCAGGGACCCACCGCATCCCCGGGGAAGGGGCAGGAGGGGGTCCCGGCAGGTACCTTGAACACAAACATCTCCCCACGCAGCACCGCCACCGTGTCAAAGTTCCCGTCGCAGATGTCGGGGCCGTACTGGTCAGGTCGGTCTGGGCTGCCAGGTTTGGGGGGTCGCTCCGGTTTCCCCGGGGGGGGCGGTTTAGGGGGTCTCTGGTCTGGCCTGCCAGGTCTCCGGGGTGTCACGGTGGGCAAAGGCTTGGTGGGCTGAGGGTGCCCGTCCGCGGTACCTGGATCGGGCGGGCGAGAGAAGGGATGGAGTGACGCAGACTAGCAGGGCCCGTGCCTCAGTTTCCCCACGGATGGGCCCAGTATCCCACCTCCGGGCTGATCCCCCACCCAGCTCCTCACCGTACAGCTGCTGGATGCCCTTGAGATCATCCTCGGGCAGCTGGAAGTTCTCTGTGTCCATCCACTGGTAGAAGGGGGCCATGATAGCGCTGGGGTTGCTGGAGTGCTCCAAGCCAAGCGAGTGCCCCAGCTCGTGCACGGCCACCAAGAAAAGGTTGTTCCCTGCAGGGAAAGGCACCATCAGCAAGACGGGGTGGAGGACACGACGCATGGGGTGGGTCCTTGGCCCCAGCACCCTGTGATGAGGGTGCTCCGGTGCGAGCTGCCTGCATCACCCATGGTGGAGCTGCTCTCTGTCACTCCTGCCCACACCAGCGCATCCCCCTGCCCTCAAACCCAGGAGCCCACCAGGCTCCTCTGGTTGCCTTCACCACCTCAACTCACCAGACACATCTGTGTTCTCCAGCGTCCAGGGCTCATCCGAGTCGAAATGCGTGTCCCCGCCCATGCCAGGACCGGGAAAATAGGCATGAGCCAAAAACCCCCCAACGCCGTCGAAGGGGGAGCTGTCTCCGTGGAAGCCGGAGGCGAAGAGCACCATGATGTCGGCCTCCTTCTTCCGCTTCTGCCGGATGTCCTCGTAGGGCACCTCCCGGAAAACCAGCGGCGTGGCTTGCTCCCACACCCGAAAAGCTCGGCGGACAGCCTCGTACGAGTGGTACCGACCCAGCTTCTCCGTGTAGTTTTGGATGCTGTGGGTACAGAGCTCACTGAGGATGGCCCGGGACAGCGCTCGCTCCCTGGGGGGGGTCCATGGCTCTCCATGGGCTGGGGGGGTGGGAAGCTCTGGAGATGCTGGGTACCTGAAGGTGAGATGGCTCTGGCTCCAGCGCCGCCCCGTCAGCGCGTACCGCTTCCGCCGCATGTTGGACTTCATCCGTGCCCCAAACTGGTCCGGGACCCCGCAGCGGGGACGTTTCATCCACCTGCCGGGCGGGCATGAAGGCAGGGCT